TTACATGTGACATTTTGAAATGCGGATTTCAGAGCGTGGACTTTCTCATGGCCTGTCCCCTATTCTTAGCACTTTTTCTGTGCTTGGAAGACCTAGCCTTTCACTTGATTGAGAAATTAAAGGGGGAATTGTGGAAAGTTGGCATTTCAGTTCCTGCTTGCAAACCCCTCCCCCTTCCAATTTCTTTTCTAGATCAAGCCCCAGATGAGGGGAACCAGAGGCCCTCGAGTTCTCTGGGGTTCTCCAGGGAAGAGAGGAGCGTGGAGCCTCATGCCCCTCGGGCTGGGGTGAGGGGCGAGCACCCAGTGATGAGGGGAGAGGATGACTCTGCAAGACCTGGATGAAGGGGGTTCCTTGAAACTACTCATCAAAACCTGGGAATCCCCTTAGAAATGCTCCCTTCACCTTGCTGAGGACGGTGCTGGGAGGACCTCCCCCTTCTACTAATGGCAGGAGACCCTGGGGACTCACAGACACCCAGCTGGGAGGGGGCTGCTCTACCAAACACTCTACGTCATGTTCCAACCATGAAAAAACATGGCAGGAAGATCGTAAAGCATATCCGGTATTCTGCCAGCAATGCCATGGAGTCAGTCTATGGGCAGGGTTATAGGCGCGCTGTGGAGATTGTAACAGGGAGGTAAAAAAAGTGACTCCTGGGGGTATTTTATAGTTTAAAAAAACTCATGCATTTATGTCATGGTTTAAGGCCATTTACCACAGAGCAGAAAATAGTTCAGATGCATAACTTGAAAAATACATTTGAAAAGCAAAAGAATAACTAAAGATACCCAAGTGGTCAATAAGCGTATAAGGTGGTGTTCCGTCTCATTAGTCATTAGGGAAATGTAAATTAAAACAGAATGGCCAAAATTTAAAAAAGACAGTATGAAGTATTGGTGAGGCATACACTGTGGTTAGGAGTCCAAATTAGTACACTCTTTAAAAGCTGTTTGGCGTGACAGCCTACAGTTGAACCTATGCATATCCTAGTATCTGGCAAATCTACTCTAGTTATATTCCCAAGAGAAATGTGTCACCTGTGATAAGCCACATGGTCGCAGCAGTATTTGCAATAACCCCAAACTGGAAACAACGTGAGCCTCCATTAATCACAAAATGGGACGTGCATTATTTTCAGGCAATGGAATACTGTTTGGCAATAAAAATAATAAGCCAACCACAGCTATATGCAACGGGATGGTTGAATCTTGTCAATATAACGCCAGCCACGTGGTTAAATAGAAAAAAGTGTATTTTCTTTTTATGGAAAGTTTTAAAACATACAAATTAATCAACGGTTACAGAAGTTAGGAGAGTGGTTACCTTTGGGGAACAGGGGAGAGCTACTTATTCAGAAGGGCATGTGAGTGGGTGCTGGTGATGCTGTATTCTAGGTGTCAGAGGTCTTCTGTTTCTTCTGTTTCTTGACCAGGATGATGGTTCATGGGTACGTTTGTTTGCAGCTTACGATGTGCACTTATGATGTGTGGACTTCTCTGGAGATATGTTATACTTGATAAAAAAAAAAAAGCTAAGAGAAAAAGTATAAGCACATGACATAGATGGGTATGTTTAAACTATTGCCTAGTTCCCGCTGCTGATGTGAATTTTGCAGTCCAAGTCCCCGAGAGGCCCAGGTGAAGGACACTTGGTCTCTGAGAGACCAGGGGTGAGGGGTACCCGATCCCTGAGAGGATCAGGTGAGGGATAGCCGGTCACTGAGAGCCTGGGGGTAAGGGATACCTGGTCCCGAGAGGCCCAGGTGAGGCAGGGCGAGGTGGAGAAAAGCCCAAGACCCACTAGTACCAGCTGGGCGTTTTGAAGGCGGTAGCTAGCCCTGTGGGCGCTGACCCTGGCGGGGCTGGAGCATCCGTGTGCATATTACCGTATTACCGTGTTAGCGTATTCCCACCCCTACTGAGCTCGGAAGAGGAGAGCTTCCGCTCACACCATCAGCTGGGATTTCAACCCAGGCAGGCTGGCCCCAGAGGTCACAGGTTATCACCTCCCAGGAGGAACCAGATTAGGACTCAGGCTCGGAGGTGGAGCTGGGGAGCCCCCGTGCCAGGACAGGTACAGAGTGGAGCAGTGCCGCCCTCTGCAGTCTGTGGGGATCAACTCTGTAAAAGGCGCACAGAGTTTCCCAGAGACCCTCTCAGAGAGCTGCAGCTTCCAGTTCATCTTACCCTACACTCTAGCCCATCAACTCGAAGTCCTCGTCCTGGGCTACTCCCACCCCTTCCGCGGTTATGGGGCCCAGAGCACCTGTGCTGGACGCATGCTGAGCGCCACAGCCAGGGCACAGTTATCTGCGTTTACAAGAGCATCCCACTAGCTATCTACCTTACATTTGATAGCTAGTGGGAAGCAGCCGCATAGCACAGGAGATCAGCTCAGTGCTTTGTGACCGCCTGGAGGGGTGGGATAGGGAGGGTGGGAGGGAGGGAGATGCAAGAGGGAAGAGATATGGGGACATATGTATATGTATAACTGATCCACTTTGTTATAAAGCAGAAACTAACACATCATTGTAAAGCAATTATACTCTAATAAAGATGTTAAAATAAATAAATAAAAGAGCATCCCAGGGGCCTCTTAGGCAAATGCCCCTCAGCATTTAAATAGGAAAGTCTTGAAAATGAAAGCCTTTAAGAGATAAAGCTGATGACGGTATTTCAGACTGAAGGCTGGACAGCCTGGGGGATATCTGGGGACACAGGAAGACCTACCCAGCACCCCTTGAGCCACAGGAGTCACGTTTTATGCACAGCCGCCCTTGCTGTGCACACAATGTGACCTTACTGTTAAGGTCAGCCTGAGTGAGGTCCTTGCTTCGTTTGATGTTCCGGGCAGGAGTTGACAGCCCCATGTGCACCCAAGGGGAACGAACCATCTTGTCCCGTGGTCCTTCCCTTCTCTCCTCCCTTCCTCTGTCTCCCCGTCCCTCTCCTCTGTTCCTTCCCTCCCTAAACATTTGTGGTGCATCCACCAGGCCCTCAATTCACCACCCTCAGAAGAGGCCCCAGATGGTGAAGTAGAGGGCCAGACGTTTGCCTGTTAGCTACCCTGAGCACCTGAGCTCGGTCTGCACAGCTGCCCCAAGTAGAAACGAAAAGGCTCTCCGGGAAGAACTATGCTTGGTTTGAAAAAGAGTGCATATTCATTTGACTGTATTTTCTCATACATGTTGGATGAGATATATATGTACACATATTGTTTTCCTGTAACATAATAATTGGATTATTATCTTAAAGTGAAGGAACCAGCCATTCTGCTTTTTCTGTCTCCGGGGTGCAGGCTGGATTTCTGTTTCTCAGATTTGGGTATCCTTAGTTTTAAGGGAGAGAATTTTTTTTTTTTAACATCTTTATTGGAGTATAATTGCTTTACAATGGTGTGTCAGTTTCTGCTTTATAACAAAGTGAATCAGCTATACATGTACATATATCCCCATATCTCCTCCCTCTTGTGTCTCCGAGGGAGAGAATTAAGTGACTTTTTTTCCCTCAAAGGACTAGCCCGTTGTCTCTCAAATCTGACCTGCAGATGGGTTTTGTTTGGGCCACACTGGTTTAAATGGAATCAATAGGCCGAAATTAAGACCTTGCGGTATTATCATGAAAATTGAGGTTTCGGATTTCTTTGGAAAAGTACTGGGCTGGCGTTTCTGAGGGAAGGAGTTGGCTCAGGTTGAATAGAGACCCAAGATCTCTGATGTGTTTCAGCCCTATCATTTCTTACGGCTCCAGACACGGATTTCCACAGGCCTGCTGCTGTTCATCAGCTCCTTTCCAACCTGCTTCAAATGCTTACATTATCTGCATCTCTAGTTCCAAAGAAGGAGGGCTCTGGCCTGGAAGTTAGTTTGTCAAAGATCACGGAGATAGCTGCTGGTGGGGATCAGTGAGTGGCAGGGACCTGTGACCCCTTGCACTGACTGGGGGGACAGCACATGGCCGTGGGGAGGTCCCGGGAACCCAGCAGGGCTGGACTCAGAGGGGCGGTGGGCGGCCCCATCGGGAGGCAGCACATGGTCTTGCACAGACCTGGGTTGCAGAGCAGAGGCGCTTCCTCTGTCTCCCTCAGTTGCTAAACTCTGATTTGGGGGGAAGAACGCAAAGGAAAGGATGAGTGAGGGTCCTGGGAGAATGACTCAGTGGATGGGAATTTAGCTGCAGGTGGTTTCAATTAGAAAAACAAAAGACATGTTACATTTTTTGTACCTGTTGTCCCAAATGTTGTAATTAATGTGAAGTAGTCATAAACTCCTTGTGTGATGAGAATTTGCCTTCCAAAACATTCATAATACCTTGCCCACTGATCTGGCCACCAAATCCCTCCATTCCTGCATCTGTCCGTTCATCAGATTCTGGAGGCCCCACCGGGGTTATGGTGTAGGGGGTGGACAACAGTGGAGATAGAGACACAAGTCCTTCTGATTCTTGGTAGTGGCCTGGATGAGAGACAGGGAACTGGAGTGGAAAGGACGTTGCTTGGGAGCAAGAAGTTTCGGGTCTTAATTCCATTTCTATCCTTCAACTGCTGGACAATTTTGGGCCAATGAATTGACCTTTCTGGGCTCCACTTTCTGTATTTGTAAAATGGGGCTAAATTATCTTTAATTTTTTTTTTAATTAACGTCTAAAATATTTTGTTGAAGAAAAGAGACATACACATTTGGATGTAAATGCAGAGTTCCTTATATATGAGGGTACAGTTTGTATCTTTATTAGGCTTTGGTTATTCCTCACATACCTGAATTCCAGAAACGAGAGTGGAAATACATTTTGTTTTGCCACTGTGTTTGCTCATCTAAGATGTCATATACAAGGAATTAAATGAAAAATGTTTTTGCAGCCTCAGCAGTTGGAAGAGGAGGGGGCCAGTGATGCTTCTGTTGAAAGCAGATGGTTTCACTGTCTGTGAGTTTAGGATATGCGGTGGAAACCTAAGGGCGAATGAGAGCTTCGGAGGGGAAGAAACTTGCAAGAATGTTGTGCGGTTGGGGTGATGGGTTTATTATATCTACATACAAGTATGCATTTATTGGCGTTTTGTCAAAAATAAAGGACAAGGTAATACCAAAAACGATTTGAGCATGTAAACAAGACAGCTGCAAGAGACCAATACTGAAAGGCTTAAGGATTCTCAAAAGAACACAGGACCTGGAATGACAGCTTGCAGGTTGTACAGTTAAGTTATCCAGACAATCAAGTCAACTGTATAATGCAAGCAACACAGGACAATACAACACGACCGGCGAAGCAGTCTCTCACGGGGGGGTGGAGGAAGGCTTGCTGGGGCCTGGGCTCACTGATGGGAAAGGGGATTAAAATCTCATAAATCCTCCATATCTTTTCTCCATTTCGGGAACTTCCTTCGAGTAACTTTCACCTTCTTCGTCGGAGGGCAGGGAATCTGCAAAGCGCTTGAGGAAGCCGCCATACCTTTTCTGGTAGTCCGTCCACCACTCCGGGCGACCCACTCTTCTCATGAAGCCGCCGTACCGCTTCTGCAGCTCTTTGGCTTCGTCTTCCAGCTGGGGGCTTCTCTTTAAGCCTCGCATGAAGCCCCCGTATCTCTTGCTCACGTCTGCGTCATCCCTGCCCTCCTGGTGGGGAGCCCCTTCTCGCTGGTTCCCCTCTCCCAGCAGCAGGTCGGAGGGATTGCCTATGGAGTCGTCTTCCTCCGTATCCTTCTTCATGAAGCCCCCGTATCTCTTGCCAAGGATTTCACCTCCGTTTGCCTCTTCGTCCGGCTCCAGGGGGTACAGCTCATCCATCTTCTTCATGAAGCCTCCATACCTCTTCATGAAGCCCCCGTACTTCTTGGCGAGCAAGCGGTGGTCCTCCTGTTTGCCGAGGGCACTGTTGCCGTCTGGAGGGAGCTCCAGCTTGGACAGCTGCAGAAGCTCCTTGCAGGTTTCCCAGGTCTTGAGAGAAGGCAGTTTCCCCTCACATTCCAGTGTGCAAGCCTGGGAAAAGAATTCGATTTAGTGATAAAAAGAGGCTTTTCTGATTTCGTTCATCAAACACATTTTTTTTTTTAGACCACTCTATGCTTGCTTTGATGTGGAAACTCCCACATAATGGTCTCATTTTCCTTATTACAACTTTTTGCCGTACTGAACAGGCAAATCAAAGGAAATTTAGAAGGGGAGATTGTGGAGAATTAATGGAATCAAATTAGAATTTTTCTTTGCATTTTAACAGATTGTATATGCTGTGCCCTTGCAATATTGTAAAGATATTTTCCCACCCAATTTTAACCTATATATGACATTTCCTAGCAATTCAGGGGTTTTTATGGCCCCCTGAAGTCTACTTATAGAGCCCAGGTACCAACCCATGATTTAGACATAAAAACCAGGCATTTTCTGGGGATTTAAAAATATATTGGTAGGGCTTCCCTGGTGGCACAGTGGTTGAGAGTCCACCTGCCGATGCAGGGGGAGCGGCTGGGCCCGTGAGCCATGGTCTCTGAGCCTGCACGTCTGGAGCCTGTGCTCCGCAACGGGAGAGGCCACAGCAGTGAGAAGCCCACGTACCGCAAAAAAAAAAAAAAACAAAAAAAAAAAAAATATATATATATATATATATATGTGTATATATATATATGTATATTACTTAATATGAAATACACACATACTATTTTCACAATGAAAGGAAGCATTTTATTAGTGCAACAAAATTCTTTAGGGTATATATTTAAGCAGCTCTTAATGATTTATTTATTAATTTTCTTTGTGTCTAAGAAAATTAAATATATGCATATATAAAAATCTAAAGATCTAATTAAAATGGTTCTGTTTTATTCTTGACATCTGATTAAGAAGTCAAAACATCATTAAAAATTTAAGATGTTCAGGTGTCAAGAATATTTCCATCCTAAAATGAAATTTAAATAATCTATTGGCCAAAAATTAATGTTGAATATTTGTATACTGTTACCAAAAGGCTTTTAAAAAGGGATTCCTTCAAAAACAAATAATGGCAAATAATCGGAATAGCACAGTCATAGAATGGAAGTGGTGTTAATTTATATGCTCCTGTAGCCATCTATGAATTTTTGTATTATTCATCCTCTGTGTTAGAGGGTAAATTCAATTTGGACATCAATCATGGCATGCCTGCTCATCTTTGTATCCACCACAGAATGAAGCACAAGTGTCTTTCACATGCTAGAAACTCAATAACTCAATAAATATGCGTTACATTGATTTTACTGCATAGTTCTGGCTAAGCAACCTAATTTCTCACGTGTCTTTTTCATCTAAGTGAAAATTCCAGAGCTGCTATAATTCTAACAATATAGTCATCAACAAGCCTTTTTTCACAGAGAAAATAACAATCCTAAATGTAAGCTTCAATAGAAAACTAACCAGTTAAACAAAAAACAAATCAGAAAGAAAAAAGATGGATGAAGGGGATTGTTACCCCTACTTAAGATGCAGCATTTTTCTCAGAGTTTAAATATAAAGCCCTACTACTTGTCTTGTCGAATGAAGTGGATCAGGTAATCCAATGGAACGAAGAAACATTTAACCTGAAATATACACCTTGGGTTTTGTGGAATCCTTTCCTTAATTTTTGTCCCTGTTTTATGCATCTACATAATAAAATTGCTTCAAAAGCTCTAGTGAGGAGCTGAGCTCTTTGGATTAGTACATTATTCTCTGCCCAACTTAAGTTATCACAGAAGTTCAACAAATTGAGGAGACAGTGCAAAGGAATTATTGGGGGAACTAGTTAAAATGAAGCTTCCTGAGTCCCAACTTCAGAGATTCTGACTCAGTAGAGCAACAGGAGTGATTCAAGAGCACACAGACTATGATTAGAAAGACGGTTCTTTTGACCTTAGATTCCCCCCCAACCCCAAGCCCCTGTGTAATTTATCTTTGCATTGCGGCCACCTCTTTGGACTCCGCCACGTCTCCTGTGCCCTCTTCATAGCCAAAGTAAACTTCTGTCTTAGTAGGTGTTACAAAAGCACGTTCTAGACAAGACAGAAGTTGAATTCCAGCATCACCTGCTGTCTGTAAAACGGTGGCTGACCTCTTTCTCTCCAGCCTCCTGCGCTCTCCCTTCCTCCCCTCCCTTTATCCCTTCCCCATCCCATTGCTCTCTCATACCCGCAAGTGAGGGTCAGGATCTGAGAGACCTGAGCTTAAAAGGGCTAGAGAAATGACATTCGAATAAAGGCAGCGGAATATCACTAATAAAAAAGTCTATATTCTTTGCGGGAAGGATGGGAAGATGGCTGTGTGCGGAAGGAGCCCTTGGTGGGCTACGTGAGGAGGCGGGGTAACAGCATCTTCCTGGCGGCAGGTGAGGCGACAACCCAGTGCTCTCCGAGGTGCTGAAGACAGTACAGCTCGGGACTCCCGCCTCCCCGGGGTGAAAACAAACTTGGTTTGCGCGGAGACCCCGCCGCCCTTTCCGGTCCCTAGATAGTCGCGGGTCCCGAGAGCTACTTGGTCAGCGTTCGGGGAACAGTCGGGACGCCTGGGGCACCAGGGGTCCGCGCCGGCTGTGACCACGAGATGCGCCGCGCGGAGGACCCGGGCTGTCCGCGCAGGGTCGCGGTTACCAGCTCCCGCGCCGCGCGGAACACTCACCAGCGGGTTGAGATCGGTCGGGCGCGCCAGGCGGTAGATGCAGGTCGCGCAGTCCTGGCTGCATTCCGCCCGCACGGTCGCCAGGAGCCCGGGGCCGAGCGCCAACAGCCAAGTGCAGAGTCTCAGGAACCGCGCCATGGTCTGCGGGGAGAGGGCACACGAACTCCGAGCCCGCCCGGGGCGCAGAGCGGCTCCCTGGCAGGGACTCCTCGCGGGGCAGCTGCAACGGGGCGTTCGTCGAGCCCGCCGGGACACTCTTTCCCGGTCCCCTCGCCCGCCTGGGGGACGGCTCCGATCGCCTCGCGGTTCCCGAGTTGTCACTGTCACCCGGACCCCGGGGCGGCCCCAGACACTCGCTCCCTTTCCGGGCGGCCGCTGGCCCGGGCAGGATTCTGGAGGGAACTACGGAGACCAAATTCGAGAGCGCGCCAGCCCGGGGAGGCGCGATATTGACCCGGGTCACATACAAGGAGCGGAAGAAAGTTGGGGAACCCCATGCAACGCAACGCGGAATAAAACGCAGCTGGCGGACGGCCCCAAACCCACGCAGCAAGGCGAGCTTTGGCCAAGTTCACTCACGTTGCCACTGTTCCGGGCGCACAGGCTGGTCGGAGAAAGCCGGTGCGGGCGACTCCAGGAGGGAGAGGAGAGCAAGGCAGGCGGGCGGGCGGCGCGGGGCTCACCGTCACGGTCCTCGGCGTCGCCGCGGCCGCAGCGCAGGGTTGGGGGCCCGCCTCTACAGCCTCCCTCGCCTTCCGGGCTGCGGCGGCCGGAGCCACTTTATAATTCGCCCCGGAGCGCAGGAGGCGTGCGCGCCCCAATCGCCAGCGGGCTGCCGCTGACGCAGGCCCTACGCCGGCCGCGTGCCGCCCCCGCCGGAAGGGGGGTCCGGACCGCGGCGGGGGGATGCGCGTGGCGGCCCACCCCTCGGCCGGGTGACACACCAAGGCAGTTAGGAAAGTTGGGGAGAGAGTGGGATGAGATCAAGGGCCCCCGCGCAAAGTCACTGCCATCGCCCTCCCCGGCGTGCGGGCTCCGGTCGAGGGCCCAGGCGGGAGGGGGAGTTAGCGGGGCATACGGAATGTGCTGGAGACCCTCCGAGTATGTGCGGGGGTACCCTTCCCCCGCCTCCTCCTGGAGCTGCCCCGCGGCCCAGGTGGGCGCTGGGCACAGCCGTCCGGAATGTGGTCACTTGTCCACCGGTCTGTCCCCGCCCTAGACTCCCTTGCTGACAGCGTCAGGCGCGTAGTAAGCGCTCAGTTAACAGTTAAAGGAATGACTGATTGAAACTTTCCGGGGATCTTAAAATCTCTGGACAGAGCTTTCCCCTTTCTCGTTAGTGAGACCCCTTACCAAGCGCGCACGCGGTAAAGCCCACGCTTCGGTAACGATGTTCCCACCTACCAGGGTGTCCTGGGGGATTTCCACGAGTGAGACTGGGTGCGGGGCCGGGGCGATGTCCGCATCAGGGCTGGTGGCCAAGGAGCGAGGTTGGAGGGACGCGGTACCCAGGGCGTCTGGGGCTTGGGGCGCGGCCAGGCAGAGCGCCGATGGCGGAGGCTGGGGTCGTCGATTGAGACCCGCTCGCCATCCTCGCTCTGCGGAAGATTGCCAGGAAGCAAGCCATTTACCTTGTCTGAGGCCTTAGTTAACCCATTTGGAAAATAGGGACAGAGGTAATGAGGGACAATAGGGCCGGAGGCTACGCATAGCGTTCCGGAGAGACGCAAATGAAATAATGGACCAAAGCACATAGCCTTGTGCCTGGCACATAGCAAGCCTTAAAAACGTGTTTCTAACCCTGCCATCCATCTGTCTTTAGGTTTGTCTATCATTTACTTATCCTACGTTTATTGTTTGTTGATCGATCCATCCATCTATGTATCTATCAGTCCTGGTCTTAGAGGGAAATCACAGAGTCCCACAGCTCGTACACAGAGAAAGAATCCCAGTGCTTTCCCAGTCAAAGCACCTTCTGCAAAGGATGCGCCAGCACTTGGACCTTCGCGAGGACCAGCCGCCGCAGGGCTCTTCCGAGCTCGGGCCGCGCTGCGTCTCCCACTCTGGTCACTAGAGGGCAGCGCTCTCCTGCGTAGGTCTGGGCTCCGGGGAGGGTCTTAGGGTGCCAGCCGCGGACACGCAGCCGAGAGGCCACGGAGCACCTCCCGCGCCCTGCCTGCCTCCCGGGCCGGGAAGCGGAGCGCGGGGCCACGGCGGCAGAACGCTCCACACAGATCGGAGGAGCCAGCATTGACATCTTGCCGGAAAAGCAGAACGTTTCCCCTTCGACGTTTTAGGCTTTTCACATGAACGAGGGTGGAGAGCTGGTGATGCTGTCTCCAGCTACATACCCGTCCCCCAGCAGGAACGAGGTTTCCCCCTGCTGCCCGGGGTTTGGAAAGGCAGCGACTACACTGCAGCACTCAGTGCGAAAGCCGTGCACGAACAACCGGGTCTAAAAGGAGAGAAAACTTGCTGTATCTGAGCACTGGCGTCCTGGGGAGCACCCAGGTACGAACTTTAAACACGTAACCGGGGCCAAAGGCTGAGACCCGCGTGTGAGTGACCGCACCACGTGCTGTCTCCCTGGGTACACAGTGCTGGACGCCGAAAGACCCCTTAGAATCTTGGAAAAGTAGAAGCTGAAGCCTGAAAGAGGACTTGGGGATAAGTTATTCCAACCTTTATTCTATAGACGGGAAAAACGAGGATCCGAGCATACAAGTGACGTCCAAGGGACCGGCCCAGACAGAACGAGGCAGAACCAGGTCCCATCACACCTCTCTAGGGAGAGGTCCTCCCCCCGCCCCGCCCCTCCCCTCACACCCTCAGGCCTGTTTTTTGTTTCTGTTGGAACAATCACTGTCTGCTCTAAGTTAGTGTCTCTTGGCGAACCTGCATCATTCTCTGAGGCTTTAATTAATTATTTATCTATTTTTGGCTGCATTGGGTCTTTGTTGCAGTGCGCGGGCTTCTCATTGTGCTGGCTTCTCTTGTTGCAGAGCATGGGCTCTAGGCACACGGGCTTCAGTAGTTGTGGCACGTGGGCTCAGTAGTTGTGGCTTACGGGCTCTAGAGCACAGGCTCAGTAGTTGTGGCGCATGGGCGTTGTTGCTCCGCGGCATGTGGGATCTTCCCAGACCAGGGCTCGAACTCGTGTCTCCTTTATCGGCAGGCGGATTCTCAAACACTGCACCACCGGGGAAGCTCTCTGAGGTGTTTTAAATGTCAGGGGAGAGAGAAAAGGAAAGAGAAGGCCGTCCCCTAGGAGTAGGGTGGGGATACTGACTGCCCCAGCACCCGCCTAGATGCTTGGGGTGTAGATGATACTGAGTGAATGTGTGTTGACAGACTGACTGGAGGGATGCGGTGGGGAGAGGTGGGTGTGGTTTGTGTGCCCCAATCAGCGAGGATCTCTTCCTACCACCCTCCCCCATCTACCCTGGGGCTACAAGACATACATTTCTGTGTTCATTCCTTTATATTTGAACAGTGGTAGTGAGTTCCAAGGGATTCATTTTTTCACGATCCTCTAGATATTTATCAAGCACTGATAGATTTTGCCTTATCTTCTGGGAAAAAGCTTTAGAAATCAGACTCAAAAAACAGAAGGGAACCTTCTCTTAAAGCATTTAATCCACAGAATTCTGATTCCCAGGTTATGAACAAGACCTCACCTTCTTCTGATCCTAAGGTCCCAAACATCAGACAAAAGAGATTCATTCTGGAGACCAAGAAATATGGCTTTTGAAGCCCCGATGATGAGTGGTGTTTTACTCAGTTCTTATGTATTCTGGGAGCCTGTAGGACGGATTTTAACAAGTCCTTTCAGGGTCCTTTTCCATCATTTCCGGGATGTCTTTCAGGTTCCTCTCCTCCCCTCCACTTCCCGCCTCCCAAACACACATTCTTCGTTATGGAAACTTGCTTTTCTGCCCCTCTCTCTGTAAGATAGCAGCAGTGGGAACAAGGCAGTTCCGCACTCTGGGGATCGTGTAATGTTTCAGCATAAAAGCACCATGTTCTCACATTTCAGATGTCTGGAGTCACACCAGAGGCAGGGCAAACTTGCCCATTTTCAGTTACACTGTAAAGTGTGGGCTTTGCAAGATAGGATTCTGTGAGCTGGGCATGTTACCGTGAAGGACCTCTGTTAAGGCGTCTTCTTCAGACGGGCACAGGAAGAGCACCGTGGCAGAGAGGGTGTAAGCGGAGTTGGTGGGAAGATGATCTGTGCTGTAATAAACCCCCATTCTAAGAAGGGTGAATGCTGGCGCATCCTCACCCTCAAACGGCCAGGGAGCAAAATAAACCCCTTGGAAGCAAAAGGAACCTGGTACAAAGTTGCCTGAAACGGAGTTTAAATAATAGAAACTGTATCGATGTGTCAGAGAGAGAAAGAGAGTGAGGAAACAGTAACAAAGCAGCCAGGAGGGGAAACTAAAGGAAGCCTGTGGAACACACTGTTTGCATCCTGTAAACTTAGAAAGACTTGAAAGAGAGCTCTTAAACTTAGCCTTTCAACTCTCAGACTGGGAAACACACATTTTAGTGTTAAGTATAGGTAATTAGACTGTGAATAGAGCAAGTCACATGATGACTCATTAGGTTCAAGGAAGACATAGCTGGGGATGCAACCAGACTCTGGAGCAGTCATTTTGAAATGACTTCTGGGACTGCTTTGAAGGAATTTAACAGCCACCCCGGAGAACCAGGCATGTTAAAAAATTGTATTGCCTCATTGGGCCTAAACCTTAGTTCATAACTTGACTTTGATTTGTTTTTGGTAGTTTCCAAAATCAAATTCAAGACCCCACCTGCAGGACCTGAAGAGAAGGGGATCAAAAGTATTAACTGAATGAGTGGACACGTCCACCAAGAAAACGATTTCCGAGATCGAGGCAATGCTAGCAGAGCAATTCAAAACAGGTTTTCAGTAGCAATAAATCACTGTTGTAAGTGCAGTGGCTCCAGGTCACCAGCTTCTGGAGGGAACTCCTCTGCATACGACCCCCAGCACAAGCTTTACACATGATAGATACTCAGTAAAGTCGTTTCTGAAAACCATGTTCCTCTTGTAGCTACATCTTCCATAGCTCACATGCTCATGGGATGGACCCCCAAAGTCAAACTGTTGCCATAAAATTATATAGAGGAAGAGCTAAACCCCGCATATACTCACTTCTAGCTCTGTCATTACTCTCTTGGTATCTATTTTGTTGTGCATAGACGTTACAGCTTAGACAAAAATATTATTTTGATGAATCTTGTGAAAATCAGTCTAGAGAAAGTGATCTTGTGTGGCACGAAATAGAATCAGAGGAGAAGAGTAAGGTCAAAATATATGCCTTTTTTCTACTCTGAAGCTGTTATCTGATTATACATTTAGTGGAAGAGCAACGTCAGGAAATATCTCAACAGATGGACTAGAAACTAACAAATCGCATGATTTCATGCAGGAAAACAATTATTTTGCTCTTAAGAGTTTAGGATCAGAAAATACTAGGTTTAATTTCTGTTTTGCTGTCAGTTGAGCGTGTAAACTTGGGAAAGTCAATCTCTAAACCTCATTTTTCTCGCCTCTGTACAATGGGGAAAATAAAGCCAACCACACTAGTTTGTTGCATGGATTAAACGAAAAACTAATATGTATATACATATATACTGTGTAGGAATTCAATTTATATTAATGACCTTTTGTTGTGCTGTGTTAAACTTGAATTTCTGAGGCAGAGTGGTTTTTTTCTCAGT